TTAACTTGTATGGAATATATGTATATAAAAAAGGAATATATCAAAAATTTTAACTTACCACGTGAGCTAAATTGTGATATGTATTTCGATACATGCCCACTAATCGGATGAGCTGGTGGTCCTGGTATAAGATTGATTAATCGCCCAGTTTTTCCATGTTGCACATAATAATTATACATCCATAATATAAGGATAAGTGATAGCAATATAACAGTGAACATCGTTGGTTCACGAAATAATTGGCCACCTTAATCAAGTTTCGTTTCGTTCTGCACTTTTTTTAATCCTCAAATTATACAAATTATTAAATATATGTATTATTTATTTCAGCACAAAGTTACAGCCTTTATATTGTAAATGCGTTTGGTAATTAGCAAGTACATTGAAGTATGCTATTTATACTTTATTACTAAATACCTTAAATTTAATGTATCCGTTTTTGTAATAAGAATTGTACTTGTGTATAAATAAAAATTCACCAAAAATTATTTAAATATCTAACTGTTTGAGAGATTTTATATTGTTATAAATATTTTCATTATTAAAAAGATGTCACAATGAACCGATGTTTTTATATCAAACGCTCACAAATGACTGATCAGTACAGACATCTACTAAAATTGCGGTCTTTGGACTTTCTCTTACACTCATGTAAATGAGGTGATCAACAACACTTATTATCATTAGGTTAAGCAGCCCGTCAGTATCACAATTACTACATATCTGATAAGATTAGCAAGGGATATTATGGATGTATGTGTTTTTAAAGTATTAGATGATTGTGAATCTTGTGAACGTCATTTAACAAGAGCTAGACCTTCTTTTTGCTTTTTGTGATTAATTATTTCTGCCGCGACACAGTGATGTTTTGTATTAAATGGAGAAATGCATGTTCGGAATTTAGAGTTAAAAGAGGAATTTTATTTTTATTTTATGTCCTTCTAACATATCTTATTATCATTAAAGTTTTGCCTGCTCTACCGATACATTATCTTTTAATAAGAAAACAACAACTGTTTTACTACATCTTTAACACATTTTTCTTTCACCATTTTATGAAAAATCATATAATAAAAAATCTTATTGAATTTAGTAATATCAAAATGTACATTTTTAATATACAGTGATAGAAATGACTTAAGGTTGTTAGTAATAAAGGTAAATGTGCATAAAAAGACCCCACCTGCCGATGACCTTGATCTTGACATATGTTGTCAAGGTCACCCTCCTGAGTAACTCTTAGAAGTTTTTAGCCGGCGGTCGTTATTCGTTAGAAAGTTATTAACAAAACAGTGTCAACCAATGATATGTAATTTTCAGACACAAATATTAAAAATTTTGAAATCTTATATCTGTCCTCTCATCTAAGCATGTGCTTTGTAGTACATATACGATTCCATATGGATTTGCGACTTTTCATATGAAGCGAGATCCACTCCACACCTCGGACATAGTGGAGCCCCCCCCCTAGGGGGGGGCGGAACATACTGTTTCCACGCATGTACCTCCGCCGTTGTACTGTTCCACATGGGTTTGCGACTTTCCACGTGGAGCGGATCTCGCTTCACGTGGAAAGTCGTTTGCGAGAAAGAAGAGTTATTCGTGGTCTATAGGTAATCGGCGGATATGAACGCGATATCCATGCGAAGCGACACCACCCCACACTGACCCCTGCCTTCAGGGCGAAACTAGATCCACTCGTTCGACTTTCACGCGAAAATGCTAATAAGTTGTTGATAAATTGAAGTCTTTTTGTTAAAGCAGAGAATACTTACATGGGTTAGATATAAACAGTTGAATACTTTTAAAGCGCGTCATCTAACCCATGTAGAACGAGGTGCCACATGGGATCGTGGCGCGCTTTACAAGCTCGTTTATATACATATATATCTATATCTATCTATATATATTAATATATAGATGTTACGGATAAGGTTCTTATCTTCCGCACGTATACAGGTAGAGCAGGTTAAATTAAACAGAAAAGTTATGTACGATTTTGTAAAATTCTTAATTATATAGTTATCGAGTAATTAATTAAACCGTCTGAGTGAATGAGCACGAGGAAAACGGTAGGCCGGACTCGGCAGATATTAAATGGCTTATCTGTTTAGTCTTATAATGGTGAAGGACGAGTGAATCATCTGAAGCAGAATTCTGAAGCTCACCGTTCACTGCGTAACAACTGTTTTCCGATGCGTCGCTCTATCTCCCAATATTAGATACCCACTTTTGCAATGATATTAAACAAATAAGGCAGGTAAAGTGGTTGCCGAGTCCGGCCTACTGCTTGTCGTGCGTTTATTTGCCCAGATGTTTTTATTTCTCACTCGAAAACTATTGCGAATTTCACAAAATGGTACATAGCTTTCCTTTTCAGTTTAACCCTCACTATCTGTACACAAGCGGGTGGACACCTTATCCGTAACACCCTGTATGTACAGGGTGTATTCTAATTCGCGCCCATAATTTAAACAGTGATATTTTTCATGAAAAACTGACTCGAAAAGTACCGAACCATTTTTTAAATCATGCTTCATAAAATTGTTATTATTAAATATAGATTAGTCAATCAGTGTCGCTTTTCAACCGGACACACGATAGACACCGTAAAGGCGTACGGCTCACTTCACGCACATTACATAATATATGTGTGTGGATCACGAACGTGCGTTCGTTTAAAAAGAGATGCTGATTGGCTAATTTTTAATTAATAATAACTACTTTATAAAGCATAATTCGAAAAATGTTTCGAGACTTTTCGACTCAGCTATCCTGAGAAATATCGCTGTATAAATCGTGGGCTCGAATTAAAATACACCCTGTATATATTATACATATATTGTATGTATATACAGTGTGTGTTATGTAATACCAGTTTCACCTCTTATTTATGAATAGAGTCGAAAAGTCTTCTATCATTGTGCAATTTTCATAATTTTCATGAAAATCTTGGGAATTTTAAAAACAACGAAGAAAAACGGAATATTGAATATTTAAGCTGATACTAGAGAAAGCGGTCTATATACGCATCATCAGATGCACACTCATGTAAGCATATTGAACATATACAAGAAATATATCTTGTAATAATAAAAGAACTAACTAATGTACCATGTTTATGATAATTTTAATAAAAAAGTTTAAAGAGATTTGTGATATTTTATAAACGCCTGTTAATTACACAGCCCCACAAAAAATAAGTTGTCTAGTCTTAGGTCCAGACAACTTTTTTTTTGTGGGGCTGTGTAATTTTGCTAAATGACCTTCGCAGTTTCATAAACATCTAATACTTCAAAAACACATACATCCATGATATATGTTTCACGACTTGAACCACTGATAAGTATTATTGATTAAGTCATTTACATGAGTAAGCAAAAGTCCAAAGACTGAGAGGAAGGTAGATATCTATACTGATCAGTCATTTGTAAGCGTTTAATATACGACCTTCGGTTTATTGCGGCATCTTTTTAATAATGAAAATAGTTTTAACAAGAATATTAATCGGCTATACATTTCAACAATGTATATTAAAAATGTACATTTTGACGTTACTAAATCCAACATATTTAATTCTATCACTTTTTATAAAATGGTAAAAGAAAAATGTGTAAAAATGTAGTAAAACAGTTATTTTTTTCTTATTAAAACAAAATACATATATCGATAGAGCAGGCAAAACTGAAATGATAATAAGAAGTGCTAGAAGGGCATAAATTAAAAATAATATTTTTCTTTTAACTCTAAATTCCATACTTACATTTCTACATTTAATAGAAACATTATTACGTCGCGGCATAAATAATTAACCATAAAAATAAAAAAGCTATAAAAAATTGTGATAAATGACCTTTGCAGTTTCATAAACATCTAATAATTAAAAACACGTACATCCATGATGTATGTTAGGAAACCTGTCAGATACAATATTGCGACTCTGATAGTCTCTGGCCAGCTTGAACTAATGATAACTATTATTGATCACGTCATTTACACGAGTAAGCAAAAGTCCAAAGACTGAAAGAAAGATAGATAATTATACTGATCAGTCAGTTGTAAGCGTTTAATATAAGAACGGAACGAAACGAAACTTCATTAAGGTGGCCAATTATTTCGTGAACCAACGATGTTCCCTGTTATATTGCTATCACTTATCCTTATATTATGGATGTATAATTATTATGTGCAACATGGAAAAACTGGGCGATTAATCAATCTTATACCAGGACCACCAGCTCATCCGATTAGTGGGCATGTATCAAAATACATATCACAATTTAGCTCACGTGGTAAGTTAAAATTTTTGATATATTCCTTTTTTATACATATACGTATATTCCATACAAGTTAG